TTTTGGTTGTGTGACAGACACTCGAGAGTGTGGCCATGTACATGGATAGGAGAGTGAGTGCTGGGTGCCATGTTGCCCCCGGGCAGAGGTGTGCAGCAGGGGCTTCAGAGATGCCAGCTCCACTGGCTCTTGGTGTGGGAGAGGTAGAGCAGGCTGGGGTAGGGAGAAGGGCAGGGGTGTGACGAGTGGCTCTTGTCTTGCAGATCCGGAACATGGTGGCGGTGTTGGAAGTCATCTCCAGCCTGGAGAAATACCCCATTACCAAAGAGGCACTGGAGGTGAGTGTCCCAGCCCACAGCACGTGCTTGAGAGTGTCATCTTTCCTTGGGCACTGAGGAACCTGGGGTGGGGTTGGGGGTTCAGTCCCAGAGTTGGGGTTCCATCCTCCGCAAGATGCCTTACACTCTTGGGGAGGGGGTGAGGAGGGTACCCAGGGGAGACTGCAGTGGGTGTCGCTGGCCCTGGGCTCTTTTGTTTGCTGTTGCCTTTCCCACAATGTACTGTCATCCAGAAAGCTTCCTTGACAAAGGGTCCTTGCAGTGGCCTTGGCGCCAGTAGCCTGCAGGACGGTGCTTCTGAGAATGCTGCCTCTGGCCCTGGGACCCTAGGGTCTGAGGACTATATTTGAGAATTTAGATGTCACAAAGGACCCAAATTCCCCATAGGTTTTGTGTCTGGTAAGCCAGTGGTTTAGGGGCCACAGGGGGACTCCGTCTCAAAAAAAGTGCCATGGTCTTTCTCTGGTTGTAGGAGACGCGACTTGGGAAACTCATCAATGACGTCCGCAAGAAGACCAAGAATGAAGAGCTCGCCAAGCGGGCCAAGAAGCTGCTGCGGAACTGGCAGAAGCTCATTGAGCCTGTGCACCAGAATGAGGCAGTGCTGAGGGGGCTGGCAGGTGCCCCTGGCTCTGCTAACGGGGGTGCCCACAACTGCCGGCCAGAGGCGGGGGTGGCCAGCGCACCCAAGAGCATCCATGACCTGAAGAACCGCAATGACATCCAGAGACTGCCTGGGCTGCGGCTGGACAGGCTGGGCAGTCACAAGCGCCGGGGGGACCAGCGTGACCTTGGCCACCTTGGGCCACCTCCCAAGGTCTCCAAAGTAAGCCATGACTCCCTGGTTCCCAACTCATCACCTCTCCCCACCAATGGGATAGGTGGGAGCCCCGAGAGCTTCCCAGGTCCCCTGGACAGTGGCAGGCACGTGGGCCCTGAGGGCAGCTGCCTGGAGCAGGGCGAGAATGACAAGCACAGCATCAAGATCCCCATCAATGCTGTGAGGCCGCACACCAGCTCCCCAGGTCTGGGCAAGCCCTCCGGGCCCTGTTTGCAAAGCAAGGCTGCAGTGCTACAGCAGCTGGACAGGGCGGACGAGACCTCGGGACCTCCCCACCCCAAAGGGCCGCCTCGCTGCTCCTTCAGTCCCCGGAACTCACGGCATGAGGGCTCCTTTGCCCGGCAGCGGAGCCCATACTCACCCAAGGGCTCTGTGCCCAGTCCCTTGCCTCGGCCCCAGTCGCTCGATGTCACGCAGGTGCCGTCACCACTGCCACTTGCCCAGCCATCCACACCCCCTGTGCGGCGGCTAGAGCTGTTGCCCAGTGCTGAGAGCCCAGTGCACTGGCTAGAGCAGCCTGAGGGCCACCAGCGACTGGCAGGGCCGGTCTGCAAGGCAGGGCTGTCACCAGCTGAGTCCATCCTACCCCGGGCTGGCTTCTCCCCAGACTCCTCTAGGGCGGACAGTGATGCAGCCTCCTCTGGTGGTTCAGACAGCAAAAAGAAGAGGAAACAGTCACGTGACTACACGGTGAACTTGGGCGGCCAAGTGGCCGAGGCAGGCGTCAAGCCTGTGCGGTTAAAAGAGCGGAAGCTCACCTTTGACCCCATGACAAGACAGATCAAACCTCTGACCCAGAAAGAGCCAGTGCGGGCCGACAGCCCTGTGCACACGGAGCAACCCAGGACAGAGCTGGACAAACCCGAGGCCAAGACCAGCCTCCAAAGCCCCTTTGAGCAGACGAACTGGAAGGAGCTGTCACGCAATGAGATCATTCAGTCCTACCTAAGCCGGCAGAGCAGCTTGCTCTCATCTTCGGGCGCACAAACCCCAGGGGCCCACCACTTCATGTCTGAGTACCTGAAACAGGAGGAGAGCACCCGGCGTGGGGCCAGGACGCCACACGTGCTACTGCCTCCAGGCCCATCCACTGACCTCCCGGGGCTAAGCCGCCAGGTCACGCAGAACGATCTGGACAGAATCCAAGCCCACCAGTGGCCAGGGGTGAATGGGTGTCAGGACACACAGGGTAACTGGTATGACTGGACGCAGTGCATATCGCTTGATCCGCACGGTGACGACGGGCGATTGAACATTCTGCCTTATGTTTGCTTAGACTGATTGGCCCCTCAGCCTCTAAGTGCATTCCCACCTTGCAGTTAGCAGGAGGGTGGCCAGGCCTGGAAGCCTCGTGGTTTGGAGCCCAGCTGAGGCAGAAGGGAGGGGCGGGGGTCTTAGGTCTCTCTAAGCTCTTCCCTCAAAATTCTCCTTCTTTTGTGAAATGCTGCTACCAGTTTACTAACAAAATTACAAAGGAAGGACCGCGTGGAAGGAAGGCCGGCAAAGTGAGTTCAGAACTCTATAGCAAACCAGCTATAAAACGCGTCAGCTCCCCACCCCAGGAGAGGTGCAGACACTTCCCAGCATCCATGAGCTGGGACCTCAGTTACAGGCAGGCACAGAAAACCTGTGGGAGAAGTTACCTTTAACACAGTGACAGAAGCATGCATCCCATCTATCTGCATTTTCTGTTCTTTCATTTGGCCCTGAGTGTTAGAGGCAGTGGGCAACCTCATGGCCTATTTGCACCCCATCCAGCCAGTGTTTCCATCATGGTGCCAGATGTAATGAGCTGCTGGCATCAGGTGGGCCCCTGGCCAGCCTGTTTGACCCACACTCCATGGGCATCCACACATGAGTATTTCGTTTCAGTTCAAACTCACTTTTTAAAGAAATGCTGCAAAAATTTGTTTTCTAGAGTTTATTTTATTCCATTTCACCACCAGCCAAATAATTTTCCTTTCTGTTTTTTCATTTTCCCTTTTCTGCACATATCTAGAAAACTTCACCTTTCTAGAGTCTCATCCCCAAAGCAAAAGGTTCCCACAGGTGCTACTGGTGTGTAAAGCTGTACTGTTGGCAAGGAGACCTGTCTGTGCGCTGGAAACACTCATGACCATTCCTTTAGATTCGTTTGCCTTATGGTTGTCATAACGCGATTTGCAAAAACAAGGAGCCTTAGTGAATGTACAGTATCTAGACTTCTGTGTTCTCAGGATGCAGAAGGGAGCAACTTTGCTATTTGGTCCAGTAAGTGGACACCTTGTGATATAAATGTGGAAATAAAAAATAAAAAAAAACCATTTGCACAAACCGGTCTGAGAATCATTTCTAATTTGGTCCTTTACAGCCAAATCTGTTTATTCTGGATGGGCCAAGAAAACGTGTTCAAGGTTTGGGCCCTACAGTATGAGTCTGTACAGAAGTGGGTAGGCAAAGTGACCAAGTCAGCCTGTTAACATTCTTCATGGACACTGACTTCCATCTGCCTTTCATTTACTCAGCGTCACATGTTGCCTCTCCCACCTCGAGTCATGTACTGGCTTTGGGTGATAGAGACCAAGGCTCCACATTCAAGGAATGTTATCCTATCTCCATCCAGGCCTCACCTGCCCCAGGGAGATTTTGTGACCTTTACTTACCCCCTAAAATAGTTATAGTTTTTATATGGCATGGCACAGAGCCATGTCTGGCAGTGTGCCTCCTGGCCCTGGCCCCAAGCTGCCAACTCCCCATGCACACCTGGAGCTTAGATCTGGCTGGTGCTGATTTTTTTTAAAAATAACTTTTCTTCCTTGACTGTAAAGGGATAATAATCATTTAATTCTCCACCTTTGTCCCTGGAACAATTAGATGACTTTGGTTTTCTAGTTTTTCCACTCCAGGATGGTCATCTTGGACATACCTACTTAATTTCACGGATGAAGAAGCAGCTAACCCTTAAGAAGGGTAATCTCCTAGGGTGAACCCAGAGGTCCAGTCAATCCAGAGCCATAGTTCTAGAGCCAGTGGGGTTATCTGACAGCCTTCCTTGGTTTGGTGTAGGACACACCCACCCCAAGAAGGCAGTGTGTGAAGTGGCTTTGAGGGCAGTCTAAGGCTGAACTCTGGCCCTGCTATCTACCAGCTGTGTGGCTCGCTTCACTCCTGTATGTGTCCCCATTTGGGAGATACAAGTGCTTGCTTCAGAGTTGTAAGACTAAGTTAAATGATCAAAGTTTTTTAAGAAGCACTTCAGCGGAACCATCTGTGGTGTGGAGTAACTAGTTACTTTCCTAACCTCAGTGTGCCTGTTTTTCTCACTCTTAATGTGGCCAGCCCTGCTGCCATGTGGATGTCTGAGGAAGTGACATTACTCTGTGACAAATGGTGACCCGCACAGCTGGGAGATATGAGGGTTCAGGTTAGTGTCACAAGTATATCCTTTCCTCAGACCTGGGCTTTGGGACAGGTCTCTGCTCCTTGCTGTAGGGATCACCTCTCCTGTCTGAGTATCCAGTACGTCCCATGGTAGATACTGCCTGCCTTTGAGAACCCAAGTTTAAGATAAGGTTTCTCCTCCAATATTTTGGAGATCGATGGACTGCCACTTTCTAATTTGCCAAGTAAGGACACTGTAAGAGAATTTTAACACCCTTCCGATCCCCAAGCCCACTCCCAAAGTTATTTAGTATATGACTTGGAGCAGACGAAAGTCCTTTAAGTAGTACAAGATCATCTTGCTGAGAACACCGTCTTATTTTCCACCGCGGGGGTCCTGGGCATCAACAGATGGGGCGCGGCACCTCCCTCTCCCACAGAGCCCTGGAGACTGCCCGAGGAGGCTGCCCAGTCTGGGCTTCCGGTCTGTCCGCCTGTGAACTGGAGAGGGTCACACCTACCGCACAGAGCACGTAGCGGCAGTTCCCAGGACGTGCTCCAGAGAACCAGCCACGGGAGTCCGCTCCCGGTTTGCAGAAAGGATTTAGCTTTTCACGATTTGATCTTTCATCCTCGGTGTCTGCCTATCAGGAATCTGGTTGCGGGCGCCGGTACAGCGCGATGTCGAGGAGTGGCCTGCGAGCTCCATGGTGGCTCACCCGCGCCCACCAAGTCTTTTAGAACTTCGGCTCCAAGTCCCCCAGCCAGCCCACCACTTTGCAACCCCGTTGGGCTCTCGGCCCGCGTCTCCTTCCGCTTCCGGGATAGGTTCTGCCCTCCACCGGAAGCCCACCCGCGGGGGGCGGGGCCTGCGCTTGCTACGTAATGGCGGGCGCGGCGGTGACGGGAGGCGGCGGCCAATGGGGAGCGGCGTTGGCTGGCGCGCCCGGCCCCTCCAGGGCCCCGCCCCCAGCCCCGCGTAGGGCCGTCGAACGGGCGGGAAAGTGGTGGCCCGCTGGGTTAGGGATGGCGGCGGTCCCCG